CCCCTATGTCTAGCAGTCAAGATTAATACATTACTCTTCCTGAAAATAATTTTCTTCCTCCAATCTAGATGACGCGTGTAATGTTTTGCATTTTTATCTAAGTTTGAATGATGTTTGTTAAAGAATATTCAAATAATGTTTCTTATTTCTCTCGTTCGCGTCCATCCATTGACGGTTTTCCCCGTCTTGCACTTCAGAAATATTTTACCCGATGTGAATATTTTTCTCCCTCCGATGGGTAGACTTGGAAAAAGAATATTTTAGACAGCATTTACTAGGTTCTCTTTGGATTTATCCCTTCCACCTAATTCTATTGTGGAACTTAACAGCAAGTCATTTCCTATACGGTGCTTATTTTTCCATTTGTGGCCCGCTCCCAAACCGTGGGAGAAATTTGTGTAGTATTCTAGAGTTTCACTTCTAATTGGTCTGCTAGAATCAAATTGGTTGCTAATCTCTCCTTACTAGTGGGATGGTAATATAACCTCGTGTTGTAGAATTGTCTACTCAAATCACAATACATCAAATTTCGAACTCTCATGTCATGACACCTTGAACGTCCAGTGAGTCTGACCACCTCCTCTATTTGTCTTATCCAATCATCATCTAAGATGTCGTGTCTCGAGTGGTTTAGCGTTCAAAGTATTGTGATTTGAGTAAATGTCCTATACCACATGCATATAGGAACCAAAAATAATAGTGACGCCTACCACCCTCATGTGACCCCTCCCTCTGCGAAGGAGAGTACGCACTCGAGTTGATAAATATACAATACAATTAGTCTCTATTCAATCCCTCCTTTGATCTTACTACGAAGGTGAATTCGCACTCGAGTGAATAATTATGTGACATTTCAATACAAAACACATTTCAGCCCTCCGAAATGGAAAACCAGAACAAAGCTTGGGACGACAAAGTAGACTACTTACATTATGATTCTATGAAGCGCAAGTAGTGCTCAACTTTGGACCTTTGGTTTCCACTTCTTGTCATGCTTCTTACATAATTGTCAAATATCACCCTTTCTTTTTCGTAATTGAATTTTAACTTGTAGGTTTATATGTGTCTAAAAAATTTAACAAATTTTGATAAAAGTTGATGAAATTTGTTATTAAAATTGAAATTTAATAAGCCCTTGTTTGTCTACCATTTTTCAAAAAATTGTTTTCTACAGTAATCAATCTCCACCACACATTCAAATAATAAAATATTTTACACATAAATCGATAAAGTTTCTTTCAATTTCAACCATATATTTTTCAAAAAATACGATTCATTACACCATTTTCTTCTCAATAATGGTTGACAAACAGGCACTAAGTTAAAAAGTCGATGAAATCTCAACGAAATTTTATCAATAAATGACTAATAAAAGAGCTGTCCAAGACAACAAAGTTAATCCGCAATTTTTCCTGTACAATGCAAGTTGCAGTTTTTGACTTCCGGTCTCTATTATGCATATTTTGTTTCTTGCAGGAAATTGCCAAGAACTTTCACTCTAATTGTTTTTAATGCCTTTGGTCATGTTTCAATTAATAAAACGGAAAAGCGGCATGATAGACTTTTGAATTTTTAGCGATATTTCACATCGTCGCTATATTTTTTATATTTATTGTAATTAGATTATTGAACTTCGATGGTTGTTACATTGGGTCACGTGTCATAGTTGACGAGAATACTTTCGGAGAAATTGCTTGTAGCAATATGACATTAGTCTTGAAATTGTTACTCCAAAGTTCGAAATATAGATGAGAGTTTTTAATTTTATATATGAAGTCAAAGTTTTTATAATATTTTGTATACAATTTTAAGTGTTTATTATGTTTTCATATTATTATTCAAGTTCAATAACCCAATTGAAATTGGGAAAAGAAGTTAACAAGAAATTTCGCTGAAGGTTATGGAGGTGCATTTTTTTAAAGTTTGACAAATGAAAGTGATACGAACAATAAATGAAAGGAGTATAAACTTACCAAGTTTGACAAATGAAAGGAATATAAACTTACCATGTTGCCCTTTTAAAATTGGTCAAAATGTGATCAGACCGTTGACTTCTGGTCAACTAACGAATATATGGACATAAAATTCTGTCGCACATAAGTAAAAGATCTAAAACTATGGATGCAATAAATGAAAAGTTAGAACGAAAGCCACAAAAAAAAAAAGAAAAGAAAAAAGAAAGAAAGATAGAGATTTTGGGACCGCAACTGTAATTTTTCCTTGAAATTATGCAAACAAGCTTTGGTTTTCTATGAAGGGTTGTTGGACAAACCTTTTAGTAGAAATTTCAGCAAAATTTGATAAAAGTTGATCAAATATGTGGTTGAAAAGTTGATAAAAGATATAAGTCCAAGAAATTTTAGATTAAAATTAAAGTTTAACAAATTGAAAAATTGATCAAACACGAATTTTGGGCTTGATATTCGGCTAAATTGACTACTTGTATACGTTTTAGTATTTTTTCTTTAATAATTTATATTTGTGAATGAAATAATTTTGTCATTACTGAATATAATTCTTAGGGCACTATTTGATGTGTAATACTAGTTTATGATTGTAAAAAGGGAAATTTATTTTTTTTCTTTTAATAATTATGTCATTGTCGAGCATATTATGTAAAATTATTTTATAGGAGAATATGTGAAAAATGAATTTTAAAAAAAAATGAGTTTTTAAAAAAATGAAGGCCAAACATAAGCTTATTGAACACAAATTAACTATGTTTTCTAGATGAGGTGGAAAGGCCTCTCTTTGGTGTGTGGATACGTGTAAATTCACTTTATATTGTCAAGATAAGATTATGTTTTAGTTGAGTGCAACTTTTCTAATAGACCTATAATGTTTCGCTAAGCTTTAAAAGGGCAACTTTGCTTTGGAGTAAATTTTACTTACGAATATGTTGTTGGAAAAAATTGAGTTAGTGGGTGATTTTAACACGAATTTTGAGCAGGATTCGTTTGGCTATTTTAGAAGATGAAAGTTGATTTGTCTCGTCCGTGAGTACATCGAAATCATATACTTACTTGTAAAAAATGATGTTTGGGTGAATGAGAAATTAAAGCTCAAAATATGCCATGTGAAAGGAGTTTATGTTGGTGGGAAAACTAAAAATTAAGTGACACCACATAGGAAGTGGATGAAAACTAAAACAACTTTTATAAAAGATTGCACTTTAGAATGGTGTAATCATGTGTAGCATAGAGGCTCTCTCCACGTGCGCGTGTAGGGGGGTGCAAATCATGGACCGAAATAGGCATCGGACCTTGAACTTGTGTGTGGGCGCGACCTGCGTACACGAATGTCGTACCGGATTGACAAAAAATTGGCCCTTAGAAGAGCCTACGTTTTGTTACATTTTATTTTATTTTTCTATTGACTTTTCATTTTCTGAAACAGTTGAAACTCTTAAAACTCTTGTTGTAATTGTCATGACGTAAGTGGGTAAGTTACAAGATCCATGAGCCTAAAACTCCTGTCGTAATTGTCATGAAGTAAGTGGGCAAATTACAAGATCCAATGTCTGTATATACCTCGATTTTTCCCAGTTTTTAGTTCTTTTTTAGTCTGGTTGTGATATTATTCGGGCTCTAACTCTGTTCGTCGAAGTAGCTTCTGTGGTGCTCAGACTCCACTTGTATTCCGTTGTATCTTGGGAAGCAGACACTCAAATTATACCTCAAGCACGTGCTATGAGGGGACGAATCTATTTTAAGGAAACTGTATGTAACACAGGCCTCGGGTTAAAAGTTCAATTTTGTATTTTATATTTTTGTTCTGTTTTGTTGTAATTCTTTTTCTAAAACCGAAAATTCAGATTAACAAATTCGATGTTGGTCTGTATTAGTTCACTACTTATCATATCTTCCTACATATGTTACTTTCATTTCTTTTCCTTTTTTCTTGAATAGTTATATAGTAGGTTACTTTCAAATTGGTTAACACATTTAAATTATGAGAAAATAATTTATGAGTAATTTTTCAAAATTTTAGCCAAACATGCCGGTCAAATACGGAGAACCTAAATAAAATGTGCTAAGAATCTAAAATGCTTATATGAAACAAAGATAAGACATAAAAGGATAAGACACAAAAGGCATATTTGACTGTTGTTACTGAAATTGCTTGTCATGGATAGGATCTTGTTACAAGTATATCAAGATTTATATAATGGGTTATATAATATCACATAACACTATACCATTTGTCAGTTTAAAACAAAATCAATTTTTTCATTCAATCATTTTCCTCCACATTATATTATGTAATCCATTATGTACAAATGACAAAATCCATATGGATAATAACAAAGACAGAAAAAATAAACATTTGAAAAAATCTTTGGATGGTTTAGCATGCAAAAATAATGACAAGCCGGCTTTATTGAAAGTAGAAGCAAAAAGAAATGTTATACCAAATAAGCCATTTGATGGGAATTCCTTCCGTCCATAAAAGATAGGTTAAAAAGGGGGAACACATTTGGACTTGTCGTCAAGTAATAACTAATAATATACCCCCAATGATAGGCTGGAAAATACCTTCATCTCTGATCTTTTAGGAATTATATATGCCCATAACTTCAAAATTCCTTCCTGGAAATAATTCTGTTTTCTCTGCTTGAATTACTTATGATCATTTACATGAAACATGAACTTCTTTAACTAACAAACTAACATGTTCTTGTTCGGCTATATTTTGATATGCTTGAGTCAACTGAATAGATTACAATTGTCAAATTGTTCATCGAAATGACCAGAATCTGCAGATATTTGCCTTCGTACAATTGAAGAGTTCACATCACAAAGGCCATTAAGTTGTGTGTGTGTGTGTGTGTGTATACACACACACACATGGAAGCTACCAAGATACTTCCCTTTGCCTCCCAATTTGATTATAAAACATCATGACATAACGTTATTGAATGACAATCTTTCTTACAAAAGATTTCATTTCTCCCAGTTCTTGTTCTTCTCCATTTCTGTGAGTTTAGAAAGAATTTAACAATGGAGACCAAATTCCACTCAACCACTGATTATGGTAGCGGCCTATATAGAGTGCTTCTTGATTTTAGTAGTGCCACCCTCACGAAACCCCAGAAGCGATGGCACATTGCCTGCATCGCCATTCATTTTTCTGCAAAATCTATCATTAAAAGACAAAGAAATCATAAATATTCTAAAATTTCAGGCTCCTTCTCTCACACTGTTCTTGAAATTGATTCTGCCAGTGGCTTGGATCTTCTATTCGATACTGATTTAGTTCTTGTATCTCGTTTTCCCATCATCAATCAAACAAAACTCACAGATATGGTGAAGAACAAGAGCTTGGACAAACTCCGACAATTTGACGATGTTGATGGCATTGCCAAACTTCTGAAAACTGATTTAGTAAATGGAATTCCTGGAGATGAAGATGATGCAAAAAAACAGAGGAGTGCATTTGGTTCGAATACGTATCAAAGCCTCATCCGAAATGGCTAATGTATTTCGTAGTCGAGGCATTTAAGGATACCATCATTATCATCCATCTTGCCTGTGCGGCTCTATCTCTTGCATTTGGGATTAGAGAACATGGGATTCAAGAAGGTTGGTAAGAGGGTGGGAGCATATTTGTAGCTTTTTTTCCAGTTGTTGTAGTATCTGCAACTAGCAATTTCAGACAGGAAAGACAATTCGACAAGCTGTCGAAAATAAGTAGCAATATCAAAATTGATGTTGTTAGAGATGGAAAGAGGCAGAAGATATCAATCTTCGACGTTGCAGTCGGGGACGTAGTTTTCTTGACGATCGGTGATCAAATTTCGGCAGATGGACTATTCATCGACGGGCATTCCTTTCAAGTGGACGAATCGAGCTTGATAGGAGAGAGTGATCATGTGGAAATCGATTCCAAACATAATCAATTCCTGTGTCGGGTTCAAAAGTGGCCGACGGGTATTCACGAATGCTAGTGATATTAGTCGGGATGAATACAGCCTGGGGGAAGATGATGAGTTTGATAACAAAAGATTCAAACGAACAAACGCCATTACAAGAGCATCTAAACAAATTGACGACATCATTTGGGAAAGTAGGACTTTCTGTAGCTTTCCTGGTTCTTGTAGTCATGTTGATTCGTTATTTCACTGGAAATACCGAAGATGAAAATGGAAATTGAGAATACAATGGAAGAAGAACAGATTTAAATGATATTTTCAATTTTGTTCTTAGAATTATATTGACCGCAGTTACCATTGTGGTTGTCGCAATTCCGGATGGACTCCCACTGGCTGTCACCCTAACGTTCGCATATTCGATGAAGAGAACGATGGCTGATCAGGCGATGGTCAGGAACTTATCAGGATGTGAAATAATGGGATCAACAACAGTTATTTGCACAGACAAAACGGGAACATTGACAATGAATCAAATGAAAGTGACGAAGTTTTGGCTTGGCCATGACAACATCAAGAAAGATCAATATTCACAGGCTATTGCCTCGGATCTCCTGGAACTATTCCACCAGGGAATTGGTTTCAACACGGCAGTGAGCGTTTAAAAACTCAAATCAGAATCTGTAATCGGGTATTCTGGCAGTCCAACTGAGAAGGCAATTATCTCGTGGGCTGTCCAGGATTTGAGTTTGGATATCGAGAAACTGAAGCGAAATTATACTATTATTCATGTTGAAACTTTCAATTCGAAGAAGAAGCGAAGCGGAATTCTGATTAAGAAACAGGTTGATAATACCAACCATGTGCACTGGAAAGGAGCTGCAGAAATGTGTTAGCAATGGGTACACACTATTATCAGGGTACATGAAAAGTTATGAGTATAAGTCAAAATGAAAGGTCACAATTTGAAAATATAATCCAGGGAATGGCAGCAAGTAGCCTCAGGTGCATTGCATTTGCTTATAAGCAAATTGAACCAGAAAAAGTTCAATGTGATGAAGATGATTTGACCTTGCTCGGGATAGTTGGCCTAAAGGATCCCTGCAGACCAGGTGTAAAAAAGGCTATTGAATCATGTAGAATGGCTGGGGTGCAAATCAAGATGATCACGGGAGATAATGTGTTTACAGCAAAGGCCATAGCTACAGAATGTGGGATACTTTCATCTGATCAAGAACATGGTGTTGGCGAAGTTATAGAAGGCTCTGAGTTCAGAAACTACACACCAGATGAGAGAATTCTCAAGGTTAATAACATTCTTGTAATGGCGAGATCATCCCCAATGGACAAGCTTATGATGGTACAATGCTTGAAACAGAAAGGTCATGTGGTAGCAGTAACTGGAGATGGAACAAATGATGCACCAGCACTAAAAGAAGCTGATGTAGGCCTTTCCATGGGAATTCAAGGCACTGAAGTAGCCAAAGAAAGCTCCGATATCATTATCTTAGATGATGATTTTGCATCCGTGGCAACCGTATTGAAATGGGGTCGACGCGTTTATAACAATATCCAAAAATTTATTCAATTTCAACTCACCGTCAATGTTGCAGCCCTTGTTATCAATTTCATTGCAATAGTTTCTGCTGGTGATGTTCCCCTAACCACGGTGCAACTTCTGTGGGCGAACCTCATAATGGACACATTGGGGGCTCTTGCACTTGCTACAGAAAGACCAACAGATGAGCTTATGCATAAACCCTCGGTAGGTCGAACCGAGCCTCTAATCACAAAGATTATGTGGAGAAACCTCTTGGCACAGGCCATATACCAAATAACCATACTCTTAACCTTACAATTTAAAGGTAAATCAATCTTTAATATGGAGGAGAAGGTAAATGACACAATGATTTTCAACACATTTGTGTTTTGCCAAGTTTTCAATGAATTTAATGCAAGAAAGTTGGAGAAGAAGAATGTGTTCAAAGGGATTCATAAGAACGGTCTGTTTCTTGGAATCATTGTAGTAACTCTTATTCTACAGGTTGTGATGGTAGAGTTTTTAAAGAAATTTGCAGATACAGTGAGGTTGAATTGGGCTCCATGGGGAATTTGTATTTTACTTGCAGCTTTTACATGGCCACTTGGATGGATTGTGAAGTGCATTCCAGTTCCTAAAATGCCATTTCTAATTTACTTCAAATTTTCACATACACCTTCATGATTTTACTATGCCACAGGGCATATATAGCTTGTGTCTGTGGTCAGAAAAAACAGCTAGAAATAATGGAGATTGAGATTTTGGAGCTTGGACGGAAAAAATTTTGTTGGACTGTGTAGAGTTAGAACGTTATTCTGTAGACTGTAGTAGTGGCTTTTGAGTATATATTCATGTATTAGGTCACTCTAATAATATGGACCATTTGGCATGTCTTTTGCTTTTGTGTTTGCATCATGTAGAAGAGTTTTTAGAGGAAGTTATATTTTTGTTTGTGTTAGAAAATATGGATTATGGTTCGTCCATGTGGGGTGACCCGACCCACATGACATTAAAAGGGTTGGAGGGAGTGATTTGGAATTCAAATCCACACCTTCCCATAACCTCTCATAACTCCCGTAAAACTTCCAATTTTTTTATCTAGCAATGGAGACAAAAAATTGGAGAAAATTCGTATGGAAAATATTCCCAAAATTGAAAGGCACCAAAAACCACTATTTTGACATGAAACTCATAGAAATTGACACTTAGGTTGTGGTTAATAATTTACTTCCATTGTGATCATGATTGAGACTATTGAAGTGCAAGGAAATTACAGTTTTGCAATTTTGGAAAGCAAGGTGATTCAACCATTCAAAATATCTTGGAATTTATCATTTCAAGTAAGCATCTCGACCAGAAATTCATGTTAAAAAATGCTTCGAATTACTTCAGTTTGAATTGGTTGTGGGAAACGAACCAATCCAAGAGAATTGATGAAGTAATTCTCAGCTGATTTTTCATGAGCTACAAATAAGAAAATCCCAATGAGGACGTGAATTGGTTGTGGGAAACGAACTTATCCAAGAGAATTGATGAAGTAAAAGTATGGTACATAGTATTGGACAAGATTAAAGAATAAGATGAATGTGATCCATGCTCTTGGGAAACATGGTATGGATTTCCACATGCATGGCAACTTCAAAATTGGTGAGAATGGGCTCAATCTAAGCTGAAGTTACAAATCTGGCCCAAGCAAGCCCAACAATGAATGTTTTGGCTCTTTAGTTTTTCTGTAAACTGTCCGCATTGGTTGAAGAAAAAAAGGTTCTATTTAACGTAATACATGGCAAGTATAACCCTTTTGTAAAGTTTGCTTAGTGAAAATGAACTGTGATAGCTCTGTAATTAATAATAGCGATTAAATCAATCAATAACCACCAAATTTATTTAGTGTCACAATGGTTATCCAATTTGATTTTATTTCACTATGACCACCAAACTTTATATTTGTTGTCACTATGGTCATCCAATTTCATATAATGTTTCACAATTGTCATCCAATTTCTTTTCACCATTTTCACTACTTTTAAAAGGGGTAAAATAGTAACTTTGTATTATATATATAAAATATATTTTTTAAAAAATTAAAAGGTTATATTTTATTTTAGAATTTTTTTTAAAAGAATATTTTATTTTATTTTTCTAAGTAACTTTTTTTCTTTAAAAATAAGTTTTTATTTTTATTTTAAGGAACTTTTTTTAAATAATTTTTTAATTTTATTTTTCTAAATACTTAAAGTTTTTTTTTTAAAAATAAGTTTTTGTTTTTTTAAATTTATTTTATATATATAATGCAAAATTATTGTTTCACCCATTTTAAAATTAATAAAAATAATGAAATGAAGTTGGATGATCACGTTGAAATGTTATATGAAATTGGGTGGTCATAATGAAATAAAATCAAATTGAGTCACCATGATGACACTAAATATAAAATTGGATGGTCATGGTGAAATAAAATCAGATTCAATGGCTATGATGACACTAAGTCTGAAATTGGGTGGCCATTGATAAATTTAACCCAATAATAGCACATTAGTTTTTGTTTCATTTTCTTATTAATATTTATGTATGGGTGTTCCTTGAAATCTCCAAGTAGTTGATAATTTTATATATCGCAAGTGTTTTTATTTTTTTCGTAAGTGAAATGAGTTTGTTGAGTGCGTAATTTTTGTCGAATCTCGTAAATTTATGGTGTTTCGATCTTACTTCTCAAGTCACATAATTACAAAAAAACATACGAATAAGTGTACAATATTTACGAAAAAACTTGTCTTAATTACTTGCTTTTATCCTTATATCATTACAAAATTGATTTCTTGCCCCGGAAAAAGCTACTTGTACTACACAATTGCCCCAAATCCTTTACTTGATGCTAACATGGCACTTAGAGAGTCAAACATAATGGCTGTTGACTCGGACCAGTGAAATCACGTGAAATTTTTTGGATTAAAACCCCAATAATTCTAGATCTCCATTTTTTGAATAAACCTCCAAAATCCCAAATTTCAACCCTCCGTTCGCACTCATCTCTCACGATCTCGCTTTTTGAATAAACACCCAAATTCCCAAATTTCAACTCCTCCGTTTGCACTCCTGTCTCATGATCCAGTTAATCGCTGGCAGGAATCAAACCAGGGAAATCGCGGGTCGAAGTGAAAACCAATGAAATCAAACATCCGACGAAATTATTGCTGGTCGCCTGAGGCTTTACTGGAACTATGAAATCGAGAGCACCATTTCTGTGAAATCAACCTTGAAAGTTAAACTCACTCTCCAGGTTTAGTACCTATTCACTTCCCGTTTCATGTTTGGCAGACACCGATGGCGCTAATTTCTTCCCCTGCCCCGTCGCCATCTGTGCCAACTGTGAAATCACAACACTCACCATTTCACACACTTTATATAATTATTAGTATTATTATTGGTTTGTTTAAATATTTTGAACTTTGGAATTTAATTGAATTTAAGGAATAATTGAATTTGTGAAATTTTTCTTAGTTGATGCCGATGCATTTGATTCCATACTCACAGAAACATATAAATTCTGCTGTAATGTACTTAAATATGATACTCTTTTACAGTTTCACTAAATTTCATGGAAGCTCAATATTCGTAAGATTACTACCTATTCAATATAAACTGGACATATTTTTTTGGCACTTAGCCTTTTTGTTTCATGTTATTGACAGTATACACTGCTGGTATGGAGATCGAGAAAAAAATTATTGTTAAGAAATGGTGAAAATAAAAACATGAGCACTAGGAATGAATGCTTGGCATGGAGATGTATTTTGAAAGTAAAAGCTTTTTTTTTCTTGCTTTTTGTCACTTGATTATCCCTTTTTTGTCTCAGAATGGCTGGGAAGAACAGGGGAATATGTCATTCTTGTAGAGTGGCAGGACTTTGGGAATGCCCCAAAAAGCGGAGATGTCCATACTGTGGCGAGGGCTTCGTTAGGTGGTTAGAGGTAGAAAAGAATTCCGACAACAAAGGGAAGTTGTTCCACAGTTGTACCCGTGGCTGTAGGTTTTTCGACTTTTCTGAAGCTTCCCCTGACAAGGTGTATCCATTGCAAGGTGAATCAAGTGGCACTACCAATGGTAATGAACTCTTCGGCGATTTGTCCCTTATGTTGAAAACGTGTGCAAAAATAACCGAGGAGAGGGACTTGGAGATTTCGCTCAACATAACCATGCGTAAGGAAAAAGTAGTTCCGAGAGATTGAATATGAATTATGTTTATTATTTTGTTTGTATGACCTCGACTTATTGTACTAATTCGGTTTTATGAACAAGAATGTCAAACGGTGTATGTTGACTGTTTTTGTATGAACATGTTTTGATATTCCCGGTTTCAATTACTGTTACATCTTTAAATCAACTATAAAAAATATATAAAAATAGAAATGCATTAAATCAGAACCAACTTCATTAATTTCACAAAAAAATATACAGCCGAATAAGCTGCAGTGAGTAATTCTCAATTAATTGCTTACAAAAATATACAACCACATTTGTGTGGCAATAAGTGACCCCTAAATCAAAATTACCCACGTGAAACATGTCAGTTGACTATTGACAAAAAATATACAACCGATGTCACTGGATTCGTTACACCCTTAAATTAAAATCACCCACGTGGAACGTGTAAGTTCACTATTGACAAAAAATATACAACCAAACGTTATTGGATTCCTTAGAACCCTAAATCAAAATCACCCACGCTTTCCTGTGTGCCGCCTAGTTGGGAAGGGCAGATGGTTGTACTGCGAATCTCCTAAAAAAAAAAAAGGATAACATCATGTTCAAATATTTCGCTTTCGAACCAAGCGG